AACCTCTCTCTCCACCTATCCATATAATTCTGACCCACTTTGTTGTGTGGTTGTGTGTGAGTGCATGCAGTGCCTTTGCTGAGTTTTTCTAAATTACGTATGCGAATGTCTATTTTTCAGAATTGGCTGTTATGCGTTGGAAGAAACACGAAAAAACCCACGAGTGAAGGAGTCTAAGGTTGCTTCAGGATGAGGAATAAAGCCATGACTCAAACAAACTGATGATTAGGGATGAAATTGCTGAGGCTCAACTATATTCACGATTTTTTATCCCCTACTTAGGTAATTGGTGTTGAAACTGGCCCTAATGTGTGTGAGCAACAAGATGGAAATTTCATGCGGTCACTGGTTCAAGAAATAATGAGAAATTTGCAGAAAATCTCAACTTTATAGTCACCATGCCTTTATTCTTTGAGAACCAAATGTATTCGCAACACTTTACATGTTACTGGGACAAGCAAACCGGCCCTTAAAGACAGAACATCCGTAGTTTTTTCGAATTCCGTACAAAATCAGTATTCATGAGGCTTATATAAGCCCGAGAAGACTTCTACTCATTACAATAGACCAATCGCTTATATGGAGCGACAGGGACAAAATAGGTTCAAATGATCCTCGTCGAGTTTAAAAAAGCCTCTGGGAATGTACTGCAAAATTTTCATTGATCCTGGATGAGTTGGGTGAGCATTGGAACCTGACTTATCACCTGGCCCTAGAAGTACCCCGATTAAAAATAGTTTTGCACAAACATCGGTTGCACTTCCTAATCGTGGTGTTGGTCAACCTCCAGACTTTTTCAGTGAGCTACTGTGCAACCACGATATTTCAGTTATTCATAACTTACATCCCTTCACTGCAATTGGGAAAAGAAACGAGAAGTTCGTCTGACTCGCGCCCATTGCAGATGAACCTCATAACCTTGAAGGGTTGGACCAAATCAAGCAAGATTGTGTTCAATTTCGAAGATAGAAAGTCTGTACAATTATGCGTCACATTATTTTGGTGAAAAAAATCTTCCGAGCGGCTTGGTGGAGTACCTGCTGGTCTGTCTGCCTGGGCTAATAGGGTGTCTGTACATACCTTCCCCGATGTTCTTCGTTGGATCCCGTGCTTCGTTTGTTTCCTAATTAGTGCCCGTCGCACCTGGAAAAGAAAACAAGAATGCTAAGAACCTTGTCGGGGAAAATGTACCAAATGAGCATTTTTTTAAAAATGACGTGCATCTACGATACCGTAAAATAATGTAAAGTTTAAATCATCGAAAAAAATATATACATCTAATTTTTTTAAGTGTATGTATAATGTACGTTTATAGGAAAAAATCTTTTATTTGTGTTAAGTGATGCTACATAAAAAAAGTTGATTTGCCTGAAAAGAAGAAATAATGATTAATAACACAAACGAGTGAGTTGGGTGGAACGCACCACTCAGTTATGTGAAATAGGCGTGAAGGTATTCTGGGAATCTTACGTGACGTCCAGAACGTGTTCTCTTAGAGGGCTCGACCGAAGTTTTTAAACAGGGGTGAACGAAGACATCAATGGACTGTGGTCGAAGGGGAGCAGGTTTAACTGAACGTGTTGCGTTTGTAAGCCTGCTGACGTAGGAGGCGTGATCTGCCGCTGGTGAGAAGCTCGAGGGAGAAACAAAATCACCTGGCAGTCGTAGTTTGTCAGGAGCCAGTCGTCGTGCTTTAGATGTCACAGGCTTTCCTGAGGTTATGATGCGGTGCATAACATTGCTAGTTATGCACGGTAGGTCGCTAGACGGGCAATTAAGGTCCGGATATTTATCAACAATCGGTTGAAAAGTTGGATTGTCGATTGCCTTCATCTTAACGAGTGACAAGCTGGGGCCAATGTAAGTTATGCCTTTTATAGACAGACTAGTAGTGGTGTCAATTAGTCGTTTACGGCGGACGTCTACGAGCAAATCATGACGATTAAGTAGGTCCGTGCCAATGATGGGCATTGTGACGTCAGCGATTAGGAAAATCCACTGAATATGTTTGCGTAAACCTACGCTCATATAGACGTATTTCCGACCAAAGGTTGCAATTGGTTTTCCATCTGCAGCCTGTAAGTTGAAGTTAGGTTCCTTCTGTCGATCTGCTGCTCTAGCGGGAAGGACGCTGACTTCGGCGCCTGTGTCAACTAAATATCTAGTCTGGCTCATTACATCGTGGATGTAAAGTAATCGGCTAGTGCCACCGGCGACGGTTGCCACTAATGCGTGCCGGCGGGATAGTTTCCCACAGACTTGGAGGCTTTACCGAAATCACAAGGTTTTCGACAACATTTCGCTTCCTTGCCATAGGTGTTGTGATATCAACACCAGTCAGGATTTTTGAAAGAACGTGGGTTGGACTTAGAATGCCCACGTGCGTTTTGCCGTTGAGGGGATTTAGAACGACGGTAGGAGGAATTGCTAGGCTTGCTTGACCTAAGCATCTGCTGGATGGAGTTGCATAACTCTGTCATTGCAGTATCCTTACTCGAAGTCGGTTTGGTAACTGAGCATATTTCGGTAACTGGCCGTTTAGTTATCTCTAGAATTTTATCTGCAGAGAGAGCTAAGTCATCCATAAGAACACCTTGGAGTGTCACAAGTACAGTCTGAACTGACTGTGGCAGTCTGGATAAAAGGAGTTCTCTGAACAGTCCTTTATCGAACTGACTTTGGCCAATAATCTCTCTTATTCTCGCCAGCATGCTCACGGCTGACTGATCTCCTAATTCGACGTTACGAAATAATTCATCCAGCCGCTGTCGAACCGTGAGAACGTTTCTTTTGAGGAGGGATGCTTTGAGCAACTCGTACGAGTTACTTACCTCTGGACTCGACATTTGTACGGTTACGAAATCGCTAAATTCCCATGGTAGGGCGTGAATAACTGCGAGGAGCTGTCAACGTTGATCAATTGTCCCATGCTCACAAAAATCAGACTCAGCAATCTGATACCACGTTTCAGCATTATCTGGCCAATATGGTACTAGCTGGATTGTTTTGGTGGTTGAGCGAATCTGAATAACCTTGGGGCTAGGATCACTCATGACAAAAAGTATGCCGATTACAAAAGAGTACAAGAACAAACACAAAAAAGGAACGAACCCACCGGGTTTATCTGCGCGTTTATTGAAGATGAAGCTTGTGGTTGGGCTCACCAGTTTGGAGGTTGAAGGTATCGACGTTCGCGAGTTGTACGGAGTATACTAACGCAAGATCTTATACCAACAACTTCTATAGTGTTCGCTTTTCGAATACCAAAGACAAAGCAAAAGACCAGATTTAGTCGTCCAAAGTACGTAGTATATTTCGGGACTAAATCGCGGGTTGAAGTGAATGCTTAGCTAGCTAGTAATCGTGCATGCACGTGACACGACGGAGTATCAAATGGCGGGGATGCTTGACCGGAAGCCTTCAGCTAAACAAGTCGACTTAAACAGTGAGGGTCAGCATCCAATGTTGAGTGATGATTGCTGTGGTCAATAATTTTGGGGAATTATTCACCACTACAGCTTCCTCGTGAAAATCCCAGAAGGATAGCTCATCATAGGGCAAGAACTCGGCCCCGACTTCTTTTCACTCCGGGTTCGCCGTCCCTGGAATTCCTTACCGGCAGATGTAGGTATGGCACCGTCTGTGGACGCCTTTAAGCGAAGGCTGGACAATCATGCAGCGACACAATGACTGCGTCCAAATGGCCTGTCTCCTTAAAATCCCATACACCATTAGGTAGTAGACAACTGAGTTCGTCGTTTTACTTCTTTACATTCTCTCCCGTCTTACTCTCCTAACAACTAACCAGTTAAATGACACAACCCAACCCTATTTCTAAACTAACAGGTGCGAAACTCACCTAGATTATTTACTAACAGTCAAAATGTCAACTGCTGTCAAGGTTGGAAAGTAACATGCACGTAGGTTATTAAAACTATATGAATCCATCTGGAATTCAAACCTTTGATTACAAAAGCATAAGACCTAAAAACCGTTATGTTTACATCTATCGCATAGTTCTACTTGTTTAATATTCTTTTTAATGAACTAACATAGAATATATCACTTTCTAATATCCAAAATCGTTTTTACGAGATAGTATTAACCAATTTGATTTCTTTGTGCTCGTCTCTTGATTGTGAGGTATAGGTTCCTGATCTTCAGGAAACTTCTGCGAATCTCGTCCCGCCACTCGACTGTCGTTGCTTTGGTTGACTCCAAAAGGAGTAGTGCTGGGATTAATTATATGTTGCTTGTAGTATGCAGTGTGTTAAGACTTTGTCGCTAATGTGAATGGAGTCAATCGTTTCACCAGTTAGTCCTCCAGTATCGTCGTCAGAAGAAAAGAGATAATAATAAAAGATATAATTAGTGAAGTTATTCCTTCTAATAGACAGAAAAAGAAATATAGAAAACGTAACAGCAGACAGCCGATTAAATATGAAGTTGGTATATATATATATATACCAACTTCATATTTAATCGGCTGTCTGCTGTTACGTTTTCTATATTTCTTTTTCTGTCTATTAGAAGGAATAACTTCACTAATTATATCTTTTATTATTATCTCTTTTCTTCTGACGACGATACTGGAGGACTAACTGGTGAAACGATTGACTCCATTCACATTAGCGACAAAGTCTTAACACACCGCATACTACAAGCAACATATAATTAATCCCAGCACTACTCCTTTCGGAGTCAACCAAAGCAACGACAGTCGAGTGGCGGGACGAGATTCGCAGAAGTTTCCTGAAGATCAGGAACCTATACCTCACAATCAAGAGACGAGCACAAAGAAATCAAATTGGTTAATACTATCTCGTAAAAACGATTTTGGATATTAGAAAGTGATATATTCTATGTTAGTTCATTAAAAAGAATATTAAACAAGTAGAACTATGCGATAGATGTAAACATAACGGTTTTTAGGTCTTATGCTTTTGTAATCAAAGGTTTGAATTCCAGATGGATTCATATAGTTTTAATAACCTACGTGCATGTTACTTTCCAACCTTGACAGCAGTTGACATTTTGACTGTTAGTAAATAATCTAGGTGAGTTTCGCACCTGTTAGTTTAGAAATAGGGTTGGGTTGTGTCATTTAACTGGTTTTTCGAATAATATATATTTTTTAGTTTTTACTTTCAAAGAATTTTCCGGGTATCGACCGCAGTAGATAATTTGTTGTACAACTCAGTATTAATTAATGGCAATAATTAAGAGACTTAAGTCTCTTGAACTCTCAGAGATTCGTTCAGTCTTTTTAATGTGAGGACGATGGCTACAGTGTAGGATATACACAAAGTCAGACCCTAATCTTCGTTGCAAGTTTCACTCCGATTGATTTGTTCGTGGTCGTTTGACTTCGGTGTCTGTTCTTTGCTGTTGCCAGGACCATAAGCGCTACCTGTAAAATACTTTCATGTCAGTTCAGGAGTTGTTATAATCCTTCATACACATCGTGAGGTTGATTGGAAGTGAGCTTATGGGGGCATCAAGTTGCATCAAGTGTTTGTGCGGTAAATAGGTTTGATAAGTATGCAGAAAGTTAACGGCTTACCTGAAGTTTGAAGGACTCTACAGATCCAACCGGGAACCGGCTGTCCCCTTCATCTAAGTTCACGCTAAGCTCTTAGTATGAAATTGTACGGATTCCTCACAGCGAACTCGACAGCACATTCTTGTTTCTAGACTACATCGTCTGCACTTTAACTTTTGTCTTTTTCTCCTGAATTATAATTGGCTAACTGGACTCCTCTCAGTTTGCAATTGGTGTGTGCATGCTGAAATACTGCTTCTTTATGTATCACATCTGATTATGAAATGTGGAGAGGAATTCAATAAAATGTTGCATTGGTTTTCAGAGTTGATTCTTTTCTATCAGGTATCTGCTTGTGTCGTTCTGTCTTTGATGAGCTAGTTGAAGGCTCACATGAGTTTTATTGTTCATAACTCATGACATTTGATGACTAAATGGGAGTTAGTGTTTTACGGTGAAGTATTTCGCTCTTCTTTGAACTCTGCTTCTGTTTCCTTCAGTTTAGATTTGGTTAAACGGATATGAAATACAACTAGTACGTAGTCATTCATCGTGATTAAGTTTTGTCGTGTGGTAAAAAAGGTGGAAATTCAGTTTTTCAAATAATTTATTCGCGGCGTAAATCGACCGCTCCCTGAACTTGTGTTAGTGTAATTGAGCCGAATCTTAAATGAGAACTCGTTGCTCATATGTGGCTTTTCATTTTGGATCTAACCAAAAGTGTATGTGAAGTAGTAAATATATCTGTGGGAAACCTAGCTGAGTTCGCAAAAATAACTTATTTTTTGATACTCCAAGCTGTAATCAAAATTCCTGTTCTTGACCATAGGGTAGGGTGCTAGTGATTCTAAAAATTTCATGTTTCGCAAGCAGCCTGATGTAAAGCATACTACCAGACTTACTACAATCCACAAGGATTAGGCCGATAAACCTCCCATTGTTTTTCAGACTATCAATCTCTTGTTTTGAGATTTATTGGGGTAGAGGAGCGTCTTCGAAATCGTAGTGTTTACTAAAAACATATCATTGCTTTCCATTTGGGTCATAACGTCTTATTTATTCACGATTTCCGGGATTTTTATCTGCAGTTCTAGTAAGAATTACATGTCCTCATTTTGATGGGACTCTGTTTGACTTTCAGATTCTTTAAGTTCAACTAATATATTTCTCACTCGAAAGATAATCAAAAACTCAAAGGGTGCTTATTGGGCGGGTTTAAGTGTAGCTGATCTGGACGCATGATTCAGATATTATTACAGTGGTTCTGCGTATGTGAAACACTCAATGGGCTATAGTTTAAGCATGTAATATTTAGAATCAAGGGTTTTGAATCAGCCGATAATTGGGATTACTTTTATTGCATTGTCTAGACTGCGGATATATTTCAGCTTAAAGTACTTTTACCAGTAAAACCATTGTGATATATAATATTGCGTTTGTAACTTACTATGTAATTAAGTTTGACTCTATAGTTTATGTCACCAAAAATTAAAAATGTTAACTCTCTGTATCTCTGGTACTAAACTATGAATCACATCGATTATGTAAAAGATAATGACGCAATCTGGTTACCCATATAGTAATACAGAAAATTATGATATTCAGCTATCCATAATTACCTGAGTAAACGACTGACGAGGGGAATATTAGATCTCGGTAGTTACCTTGTAGCGGTAGGTAATTCCCTAGAATTATTGCCCATAGCATTCATCACTGCACATTGAATGCTGACCGTCACTGTCTAAGTTGATTTGTTTAGCGAGGTAGTAAAGCATCCACGCCATTTGGCACGCCGTCGTGTTACGTTCGTTCGTTCGTGCACAATCCTTAGCTAGTTAGGCAATCATCTCGCACTCCGATTCGGTTCCGAAATATAATTAGTAATTTGGCCGATCAATACCGGTGTTTTGCTTTGCCTTTGGTCTACGCAGAAATAATACTATGGAAGTTGTGGGTATTAGATCTTACGTTAGCATACATTATACTATCCGTGAACGTCAACATCCTCAGCCTCTAAGACCTTTTTGTTAAGTTTCAACATTTTTTATTGAGCAGTTTATATACTTTATTGGTGTTCAGTGTTTTATGCTGCAAATATTTGTCACGAACTCACAAGCTATGTGTGGTTGAATGAGAATTCTTCAATTTCAAGTGGATGTTTTACTACGTATGATTTATGGTTATTTCTATGAGAACTTCTATGTCTTCTAGAATTTACTAGTATAGCCTAAACAATTCACACCAACATGTGTGAAGTTCTATTAATAGTTAGCATAGGAGAAGTAGCGTTAACTTCAATTGTTAATTTGCAGGCTATTCTAGTACCTTTTACTCGTTTAGTTCGACTCAGTTTTTCAATAAACTTTCATGCTAGATTATTATGAACGCTCCATTTATTGTTGTATGAAATGTTAAGATCTTGATGAGTACTGTCATTTTATAGAATTCACTGAATACCGTCGAAAGTTTGGGAATACAGAAATTACTTATACTAGTTGTCTACATTTTTCATGATAACTGACAGTTTTTATACTACACATTCATAGAGTTCGCGTTTGTGGTCATATTTTCTACATGTTTTTGTTCCTATGAAACGAAATTTCCTACTATGTCTTAATTAATCCCCACTTTGTGAATGTCTTTTTATAAGCTTGTGTTTGTTACCTAAGCAGTTTAATAATAGGTCAGTTGCTTAGTTCTATTCTGCTTTTAAACAGTCGGCCGACTATCTCAGTAAAATTCTACAGTTTCATTGTCTTTCGTACCCAAAAATCAATATTTAATCCAAATTCTATTCAGTTTTGTGATATCTCTGTAGAACATTTATGTTTAAAAGACTGAGTAGTGTATTTCACTTGACTGCTAGTAGAGATTAGGAACTGGTGGATTGGAGTACAGTAGAGTATCGGTAAGTTATCACATATGGCGCCTATGTATAAACTGTATTTGAAAGCTTCCCACCTATCCTCCCAAGTTTTTTAGGAGAAAACATTAGATTTAAACTAGTTTATACCATTTGATTATATTTATTCGTTCCAAAAGTTGTTCAGACTTGTCATTTAGGAATTGAACACTCGTCGATCTACAGATTTTAGACATCATGTCAGGTTGACAGAACGAAATTAAAATTGATTGTCGAATCTAGTACTAAAAAATTTAAGTCAGCAATTCTACATTCTAACCACCCAAATAATTTAAGTGATAATTTTTAATTAACCCTCCAAAGAATAATAGATCATTTGTGATCAAAGGAAAGCAGATGAATAAATTGGAACTAATTTGTCCCAACTATTAACCAGGTTCATATATTACTCAGAATAAATAAGTAGCCTTTTAATAATGACAGTAATATTTTGTAGTCTACTTGAATAAAAGAGTATGATTATTTCCAAGTCCAGACTGTACCTTATATATTGAACCTTTTGTTATAGTGACACGATCAATTAACTGATTAAGACATAAATCTATGTATCAGGTATTAAAGGTTTTCAAATATTTCAGAACCTCAAAAACTGCTGAGCACTCATAAGCTAGTAACCTGCTGACGAAATCAACATGGAGACGAAAGTCTCGTGTGGCATTTGCCAACTTGCGTTATCTCTGGCGTAGACGTGAAATATGACTATCGATCAAACGATATGCGTACTGCGTAGCAGTTCGCTTTGTCCTCTTTAATGGCTATAAGCCATGGTCATTGAAAGTTGAAAATATGCAAAAGCTAACCGTCTTTGTCCACGGGTGTTTGCGTCCTATCTACTACGTTAAATGGTATAATATTATGAGTAGTATTGAGCTTAGGTGTAGATTGTTTGGTAAGGAGAGTAAGTCGACCTATGAGATTGTGAATTTAAATCAGCTGAGATGGTTAGAATACCTGTTACACATGCTAAGACATTATTTCCTTGACGGGGAATGTTAGCCAATAAAGAATTAGGTTTGAAAGGAGTTAAAGGTGGTCAAACTAATACTTGGAATCATTAACCCATGAAGATTTTGAGAGTTGGTTTGAGCCACATCTGTCTGCTAATGATGCCTGGTTGGGGTCCCTGAGACGTTAAGAACTAATGGCTGCATACTACTAGTGATGTGGCTCAAAATCTTTCTCAGAGCAGATACATTTACTATATGTGGTCTACCATATCCACTAAACTGTTGTGTTTTCTTCCATATTATTTTTCTTTCCCCCTACATTTTTCCTTGTTATAGTTCTTTCGAACCTCTTTTTCTCTCTTTGGCTACCTTTGTTTGTTACATGGTGTATCAAGTGGAACTACTGCACATCTGTACTAAGATCTATCTTTAAACTCAGTCAACCTGAACAGTAGCAGAATCTTGTATATCGTATATCGTTGGGTAAAGCGCTTAGTCTGTTGGTGATGTAAACTTCGTCATTTTTTTAGTTAGAATCCAAGTTACTATTTCAACTTCAATCACTATATTCACTACACTGACATCTGTCTACCCAAATCTACCGGATGTCTCAGACATGTTTTCACTGTTCACTCAGTTGTATTCCATATTAGGATGGTATCACTTTTCAATGTCTTTAATTTTTCACCTTTTTCGGGAAAAATTGTTTAAACCTGTCAAAAGTATATGCATTAGGCTATACTTAGGACGATAATCGGTGTTTTCAACGTAGCATAATCGCGTTGATGTGTCAGTATTAGAATGCTTGCCAACCATGCATTCCCAAACCACCTCACTTAGCCGATATATGCGTCTAGTAAAGAGGGGTGGGGGAAAGGTTGGACATGAGGTTATTACAACCTCAAGTCCGTAAAAAAATGAACTACATTAACGCTAACGGGTCTTCATAGATTGAAGCTTGAAGCCTTATATTCCACTTGGAACGCAAAAGAAATAAAACTAATAGGTCTACCTATCATTTGTATGCATGTGATAAATACTTTCTGTTATGCTTTTATAAAGATTTACAATAACTACTATTTACAGAGAGATCTAAACAGTAAAATTTACTATATACATATATAAATATGTATTATTTTGTACAGCATTTCTTTTTATAACTATTCGTTTTATTATTTCTTTTGTTAGATTAACTCCTATTTCGCGTCTTATCATGAAAATCATTCTTAATCATATACATACAATGTTAACTAACAGATACCGCAGTTACAAAGAAGCATATATACATGTAATCTAGATGTAATCTACTACTATATTTGTTTAATAAAGGAGGATTTCGGTACAACCATTTAAACAAATAGTATAATCAAACGAAAAGAAATACATCTCCTTTTTTTACTGTTGGAATTTTTGTCACTGAATTTACCACACCGAATATCACTGTTCTACTGCGTCACTGTATACGCATAGTGCTTACCTACGTATATGTATGTATCATCAATTTAATTAGTTGGCAGAAAAATAATAATTTGACTACTAAAATTGTACTTACTCAACCAGAATACATACATATATATATATGATTTACACAATAAATTTGGAAAGCAAAATCAAAAGTGTAAGTGAAGCCTATTACTTTTCTTTTACTACTTATAAGTACTATACATATGTATTGATGTAAATATCTTGTGGTGTTTTAAAGGTGTTTTGCTGTAACAAGTTATTATGTCACACAAGTTGAGTACAGTCTTAAATATTCTCTATGAAGTTTCGTCTCTTTGATTAAACACTAGGCGGTAACTAATGTTATGCGTCTAGTCCTCAGTGTTGGCGCAGACTGAATTCTATCTCAGCCACGTTTGCAATGTGACCATCATGTTGGCTCTGGGACTCGCCATCATGGTGCACTCTGAATTGATATTAGATGGTTGGAGACAGTCGGTAGGGAGGGAGCCTTAGATGTAGGTTTCGTGCTCCCTGGTACTCGTCAGGTAAGACGTATCTGAAATTTAGAAGGGCCTCATGTCACCTTAGAGATTCGAACCAGTACCAACCAGTGTTTCAGTCAGAGATGTTACTACTTAGCTATTTATGCTGGCGATTGACCTCCTGCAGGATTGTAATGGATATTTTGATTGGATACTAGACAGTAACTCATGTCATACGTCTAGTCTTTGGTGTTGGTGCAGACTGAATTATTTCAGTCAAGGAATGAAACTTTAGAAAATTCTTTCATATTGATCTTTTTCCACAGAATAGTGTTTATCTTGTATCCATAACAATTAGAAAGTCGATTTTTAAAAACCTTGAAATGTAAATTAACATAATCTGTGAGCTCTAAACGATAAGCATTTAGTTACCACTCGGAACAGGCTATGAACCACACTTAATAATGTGTAAGAACTGACGATTCTACCCGAATTGTCTGGGCTGAAAGAGCTGGTGGAGTGGGACTTGATGCTTGTAAGTCGAGTGCTTAAGCCAGCAAATAAACCACGCTTCCATCTCATTAAATGAAAATCTGACGTTACATGTTATCGACATCTGTTGATTTGCAACCATCCTCAAACTGTTATCAGTGACTAACCTGATTTGTTTGACTCCACAAAGCTTATTTTTGTTGGATAAATCATGAACTGTGGGATAATTGTAAGTGATTGCAGATCGTATGACTTGTTGTTTCTATATCATCCAACTTGTTTTTCGTAGATTCATTTTAAATGTTACACAAATGTTAGAGTGGAAAGCTTATCATTAAACGAATTTTTTTAAATTCAAGTGAAATAGTATCCTCTGAATCAAATTGGAGTAAATGTTATCCAAAATTTAAGTTGATCTTACTCTACACAGACAGACAAGTCGTATTAAAAGCCATTGTAGCGAGGTGCGATGAAAAACTCACTTTAGTTTGTTTCTATGTAAAGTTTTTTTTTTAAAATTTGAATTAATAAGTGTGACAAGTCTCATTCTTACGTTGCGAAACTCACAATCACAATTCCACACATTATTATGATTAGTTGGATACCACCTACATCAACTAGTAGTACTTTTAGCTAGGTCGAAGTGGTCCGAACACCGGATGTCCATCTTGGTCGTTTAGACCTGAGCTCATCAGCGATGTATCCGGTTTTCATTTCATCTCAGAGTCGAATCAGTCCAAATCACCCGAAATCAATTACCTAGGACAGATTTTTCATGTACACTAGGCTGTGAGAGTCGGTCGTCCGATGATACCCCCCCCCCCCGCAATCACGAATGTGGTCTGGATTCGATTCCCAACTGACGCAATCCCAAACGTCGCTTAATTGGGAGTGTAGTTAGCAGCCCCACCGCTTGAAAAGAAACTGCATCAACGCCAGTGAAACTTCAAAACTCAAGCTTGAAGTTCCACGTTCCATTTGGAACGTAAAGGCATTATAAAAAGGACTATGAGATGAACATATTGTGTAAGGCTTATTGTCACCTACTACTTAGTTGTCCAGGTGGACTTCGAACTTAAGACCCATTGGCCGAAAAGAAAACAAGTACTTAAGTCAATGGGCTGCTTATTGGGTTCAGGTTGTTATTTTATATAGTGGCTAGCATTGTATTTTAGTAAATCAACTAGAAAATTCCTTCTGTCGTAGTGAAATGATACAGGTAGAATGAATTGGAGACAATATTTTTTCAACATCATATGGAGACTTGCTAGCGCTATGGGAGGTAAAAATTCATCACTAAGAGCATAGAAACAAAAATTGTAAAGGCTACAAAGTACGATTGCATTATGTGTAAAATAATTTTCCCAAAAAATAAGGTGTGGTCATGGTATGCATGGAAACCGAATGAAGTGATCTTTTGTAAACTGAAAATGAAGGATGGAAAACTGAAGGAGATGATTACAAATCAAAACTAACCTGGGACTTTTCAGTGCTACTCACCAATGACCTGACCAACAAAACGAATAAAGGACCAGGCAGATATGTTAATATTCAGCAGCATCAACTACGATGGAATCAGAAATGGTTCATGAATTCGAACCTCTTTTAATTCGTGATATCTAGTCTGACCATCAACCAATGTCATCGTGCAGTATCTTTCCTCACAGACAGCCTGGTGAACTCCTTTTGGTCATAACTTCTCATCACTGGAACTGTAGGATGTCCATTCCATAGTCATCATAGAGTGAATGTATTTGATGAAAGCACACGGTTGTGATATAGTATTGTTTACTGAGAAGAACTTTTGGAGTGGAATTTTTTGCTCACAATCATATTAAGGCACTCACATAACCTTTCAACTTTGTTTATATGCTTCCATTATTCCTTATTCTTTGATTTTATTGGTAGTAATATTTATGTCATTCGTTTTATTCACGTATGTTAGGTGTAGATTCGATGGACAAGGATCCCATGATAAACCTCTTCCTCCATCTATCTATATTAATTTTTAGAACTGCAGCTGTTTGCCACCTTATTGTATGACTGTGTTTCACATTGATTTGTCTATCAGATATATCACACAGTGAAACAGTATTACTTATACTGGATGACGAGGTTTTGAATGCAATTTATTGTTCATAATTATGCCATCAGTTGTGACTCACAACTTCGAAGCTTTCGTTTTACAGTTGTTTTTTTATTCCTTCCTATTCGTAGTAGGTGTAATAGAATTTTCCAGGTGTCCAGGATAGGTGTTGAATCATTTCTATTACACGTATTTTCAGTTGATTCAATAAATAAAGCTTCCGTTATCAATCTCTCTCCCTCTCTCTCCATAGGTGCCAAAGTTTTATTGTAATTGCTGACTTTTCCCCCGAAATATTCATCTTCGTGGGGGCAGTCATTCCTACACTTAGCTAAATTCCAATAATCTGACTACCTCCTATCCCACTGGTTTGATCTGTCTAGTTGACCTCATAGTCATTTCAAGATATTTTATAGATCCCATTATTCTGTCTGATTGGATCAGTGTAGGGTCCTTTAGCTTACACAGACCTCTTCCCTGAATGAGTTTGTGGGTTTGAATGACACGCCAAATTCCTGCTTCATTAAGAATCCTATGTAACGCGTTTTCAGATGTCCTTTCGCTTATCTGGTAAAAATGTAAATGTCTTAAATTCTTTCTAATTTAGGTTATAATCAATAGTTCCACCACTATTTTTTTCCTTATTAAAGTAAATTCAAATATCCTCTCCCTTTTTCTGAGTTAAATATGCTTACCATCATTTGTTTAACTTAAGCTAACGAGAATCAGTTGTACAATCAATCTTTATTCACGCGTTTAATATTCATTTTGCAGTCTTAGATATGTATGTAGCATATATCATGTGACCAAATCAACTAACCTTATTTTGTGATTGGCCAATATTTGAAATGATATTTATGGTTGTTTTGGCATTAAGCCAAGTAAACACATGGTGAAAATGTCATACCACATTCAGTAGTAGTAGTAGTGGCAGGTTTGTTTACATCAAACAGTTTTATTTTCTAGGTCATTAGAAATGTAGTTTAATTTTAGGCAGAGAGAGAGCGGAAAAATATCTCCATTGTTATCTATGTTGATTAATTTATGTTTATAGAGTTGTTAACGTTACACTAACAGTTATGTCTCTGTGATAAGGATTAAGCTAAGCTATCTCAACAAGTGTTATTGTTTCACATAGGAGTCAGCTTACCTTTATGCGATTAGATGTATCTACGCCCGTGTGTTTGTGGGTGCATGAGAGAGAGAGGTAAACGTGTTCAGATATACTGGGTGCGTCGGAGGCACAGCGGTTAGGACGCTCGCCGACCTTGCACATGGTCCGGGGTTCGATCCCCGGCCGACGCAATCCTTAACCTCACTAAGCTAGAAAGAAAAGCTGGTAAAGAGGAAAGGTTGGGCATGAGACTAGCAACCCCATCCTGTAAAAATAAACGCTGCTACAGAAACTTCAAGCCAATAGCTTGAAGCCCTATGTTCCACTGGGAACGTGAAGGAATAAAAAAAAGATATACTGGTGTTGAACTCAGTCCTAAATACGGAAGATAATCGTTTGTGTTTCACAATGTAGATTTTCTCTCGCGAACCAAAATCAGTAAGAGAGATTATTGGAAATCAGTGAGCACTAGACAGCTGATTTGGAACTCTTCAGCAGTGCGCACCCACGATCCCATCAGGGATCGAACCCCAGGACTTTCACATTACAAGACTAAGCTCGTTGACTATCCAGTCGCTTGGGACGGAATTCAGCGGCCCGTGAATTCTTTGTCAATTCGGAATATAGCACTATCATCAAAATATGTGCCTTCGATAAGCATCCCGACAAACAGCGGGCAATGAGGAAACAGGCATAAAATGGACTCACACAGAAAACTTGGAGGATCTGAACTTCGCCGATGATATATGTCTGATTTCCCACAAACTGGAAGATATGCAAGTGTAAAGCAACAAGTTGGCAGAAGAAGCATCAAAGATAGGACTCCAGGTGAAAATAGAGAAAACAGAGGTGATAAAGATTCCTGGAGAAGAACAACCACAACAGACAACGATCAGCATAAATGGGAGGAATCTGAAAGAAACAACCGCTTTTACCTACCTGGGAAGCATCGTTTCAACTACAGGCGCGCAGAACTGGCGAGGATATCAAAGCAAGGA